TGTATAAGTTTTCGTATTTGCATGTGATTACGTCAAATTTTCATTATTAACTCGTTTGTGAAATAAAAGATAAATTACGTTTGTCAGCTGGAGACTAATCCACATACTCACATAGAGACCCATTTGGGTTCATTCAAACTTGAGCTAATCCATAAACAGACCTGGCCCATTCCGATGGTTTTATATTTTTAATATTTATTTATTATATTCGTTCGCGGCACCAAAATCCACCCAAAACCCTAAATTCGTAGCTTCTTCGATTTTGTGCAGACAGTTTTACATTTTCAATCTCATTACTGTCCTCTCCTCTTCTCTGTTGCTGCTTCCGAATCAGTGGTGATAATGGGGAAAAGTCGGCGAAAACAGAAGGTAATACCTCCACCGGAACTTCCGCCGGATGTACCCGAAGAGGATATTGAGTTTTCCGACGAGGATTTGAAGTTCGTCAAAGAGAACACTGATTACGCCCGATTCGTCTCTCGAATCGATACCGGAGCTATCAATAGGTGAGTCTACTTCTCTCGAGATATTTCGTGTTTTCTTTGCTCTGTGGATTTTGTTTTGCATATCGGTGAATTTGAGTATTAGGGTTGGGTTTGTTTGTATGAGCGTGCTATAATTACCAGAATCAATACTTGCTATATCTGAATCGAGTCAAGTTTGAAGCTTTTCGTACTTTAGTCCAGTTTCAGATTCTTTCTGTGTTAGTGGTTTCTTAGTTTCTCATACTCTTGATTTAGCATATGGGTTTGAATGAAAAAGAGGTTTTGTTAGATAGATTGGTTGGTCTACTAAGCTTTAAGGTTTTGTGGGAGTTACACATGCGCATATCAATATCTGTATTGATGATTCTTGTTGCTAGGCAATGTGGTGGTAAAGTAAAGACGGTGGAGGATAAGTATGAAGAAGAACGTTCCAAGAAGAAGGCTCATCTGGAAGAGAAAGTGAAGAGTAGCGAGATCCAAGTGGATCCTGTTGATGTGCTCCCTGTCAAGAATTTAGATGGAACACTCCACTATCGAACAGGTTATATATGAAAACAATTCTTGTCATTGTTGTTCAATGGCACGGTATTAGGATCCTTATCGGTGGTCTTTCTGTTTTGTGTCTACTGCTTGTGTTTTGATATGGTTCAGTGACAAAGAAGTCAAAACTAGCTGAAGCCGACACAGATGATGCAGAAATGGACGTTCTTCAAGATGAAAATACATTAAACAAATCTCAAAGGAGAGCAAAAGCTAAAAAGAGTAAAAAAGAGGCGAAGAAACAAGGGAAGGAATTTCCTGAAGAAATTATACAAGAAGAAGAAGAAACACCCCAAGCAGCAGTTCTGGTGATGCCTTGAATTTCTCTGTTTTACTTTTCATTATATAAGTTTCAATTTTTCATTCTTTAACATGTTTTTTTTTTAAAAAGCATCATATTGGATAGCTTTCTGCATATTGAACTTTTTGGAGTTGATTATGCTGAAAATTGGCTGTTTTATGATTCTTTTATCTCTGTAAGTGTTTTGTTTTTGTTTCTCTCGTCATTATTTTTAACATGTAAATGATTTTCTTCTTTTGTCAGGCTGAAGTGAAAGAAGAATTATCTGCTGAAGAGAGATTCGAAACTAAAAAAAATAAACTTGCAGAGTTGGGAACAGAACTACTTTCTGATCCAGAGGCACACATAAAATCCTTAAAGGAAATGTTAGAGATCTCCAAAGATGAGAATACAAAGATAGTGAAACTTAGTTTGTTATCTCTGCTGGCCGTATTTAAAGATATTATTCCTGGGTAATTTTATCAATCTTCTATGCACCATTTCTTCCTCATTTTATTTGCTAATCATTCTCTTAGTTCTCCCCCTTTCTGATGTTGGAATTTAACTCTTCCATTTTTTTTTTGTTGGTGCCAGCTATCGAATTAGACTTCCTACGGAAAAGGAGCTCGAGATGAAGGTGTCAAAGGAAGTAAAGAAAACCCGGTTCTATGAGTCAACCTTATTAAATGCGTACAAGGTATGCATCTCAATTATATTTGATACTCGATTTCACTGAGTATAATTATGATACATTTTCTTTTGACACTGATGTCCTTGACAGGCATATCTGAACAAGTTGATTATATTAGAAAGGCAGACAGTATATAACCAAGTTGCCACTCGGTGCATTTGCACATTGCTGGATGCAGTTCCTCACTTCAACTACCGTGATAACCTGTTAAGTTCTGTTGTCAGAAATATTAGCTCCCCAGATGAAGTCGTAAGGTACTGGTTATTTTAGCCTTTTTTTTTAGATGACGAATAATGTTCATGGAATCTAACCCATAGTATGAACTGTTAATATCCCATCATTTTACTGCAATAGCATCTATTTTGTTCCTATCTAACTCATTAGTTGCGTATGTTTGTGTTTGCAGGAGACTCTGTTGCTCTACTATTAGGTCTCTTTTCTCCAATGAAGGGAAACATGGTGGTGAGCTGACGGTGGATGCTGTACGCTTGATTGCTGAGCATGTCAAATCTTACAATTGCCAACTTCATCCTAATTCTATCGAGGTATCCATTGACTTTATTTCAACATTCTAAGAACCACGTATTTATGCACTAGTTCGATGGGTAAAGGTGTGAGAACTTCTCCTGATGGAAAAACTATATCACAAAGTTAACATTTTCATTTGAAAACATATGGTAAGACTATGCAAGGGCCTGTAATGATTCCAAGAACAATCTGGGTATGTTTTCTTATCTGTTTGGCTCTGTTGTCATTTTCTGTTGGTTCCATTTTTATATCTGTCCGTAGGTGTTCATGTCCATACGCTTTGATGAGGACATTGGGAAGCGTGACAGCGAGGATAAAAATCTGAAGAAATCTAAGAAAAATAATAAAAGAATCAACCAGGAGGAGCAAAATCAAGGACAGGAAAATGAGAGGAAGAAATCCAAGCTAGAAATGATGTCCAAGATCAGAGACGAAGTAATTTACTTTCCGTTTGTGCAATAGATTTTGTTTTCCTAGTCTTGGCAAACCATTTACATGACCATAATATCTAAAATGGGTTCCGTTCTTGCTGCTGCTTTGATCTAAAGTGATATCTTATAATGACTTTTATTATCAGGTTAATGCTGATTACAAGCGAGAGACCTATGAACCAGATGCTAAGGAGCGGCGAAAGATGCAAACAGAGACACTTTCTCGTGTTTTTGAGACTTATTTCCGTATCCTGAGAAATACAATGCATTCAATTGGCGAAAGGTATTTTCATAGATTGTTATAGCTGTTTGAAGAATTTAGTTTTCCAGTTGTCGTGACAAAGGAATTAAGTAATGCTTTTGTTCTAATCAAATCCAAATGATAGTATTAAATTCCTCGTGTGAATTCTTGTTGGCTTTGCAGTCACAAATAACGCGATGTTTTTAAATTCTTTTTAAACGTCACTTTGACTAATTGCAGCACAGAAGCAGACACAACTTCGAATCATGGTGCTTTTGGATATCACCCTTTGCTTGCTCCATGCTTGGATGGTTTGGCAAAATTCACCCAACAATTGGACTTGGACTACATCGGAGATCTCATGAACTATCTAAAGAAGCTTGCTTCTAGCAGTAGCGTCTCCAACAATTCAAAGCAGAAAAACTCAAAACTGTTGACAGTATCTGAACGCCTGAGGTGTTGCCTTGTCGCGTTCAAAGTCATGAGAAGCAACTTAAATGCCTTGAACGTCGACTTGCAAGACTTCTTTGTCCAGCTTTACAACCTCATTCTCGAGTACCGCCCTGGAAGGTTTGTTAGTAACCTTTTCCTCTTTCAACTGCGGCATAAAGCTGAATCTAGTTGAGTCTAAAACATTTTGTGATGTGAAACAGAGATTCAGGTGAAGTGTTGGCCGAGTCTCTGAAGATAATGTTGTGCGACGACAGACATCAAGACATGCAAAAAGCAGCCGCTTTTGTAAAACGTTTAGCCACATTCGCGCTGTGCTTTGGCTGTGCCGAGTCTATGTCAGGTAACAAACAATTACTTCGACACTTTCGAATACGCATTCACATATAATTATCAGAAACCATCTCTCATTTCTGCAATCTGTTACAGCGCTCGTCACCTTGAAAATTCTCCTCCAGAGGAACATCAAATGCAGAAACCTTCTAGAGAACGATGCTGGAGGCGGTTCAGTTTCTGGTTCAATCTCAGTAAGTCACAGAATTCACTCATATACAAGTTCATGTTTCGGAAAATATCTAACCTGTGCTCGCGAAATCTCAATTTGCAGAAATATCAGCCATACGCAACAGATCCCAACTTAAGCGGGGCTTTAGCAACAGTACTTTGGGAACTCAGTCTCTTGACCAAACATTACCATCCATCGATCTCAACGATGGCCGCAACAATCTCCAACATGAACACTTCGCAAAACCAAACGTTTCTTTCCGCAGTGTCTCCGCAACAGGCGTTTGCAGATTTCTCACTTGAAAGGGAATCGTTTGAGCCTAAGAACGAGACTCGGAAACTGAACAACAAAAGGAAACGAGAGAGTTCTGAAGAAGCTAAGAATGTTCCGGAAATCGACATGGTTGAGGTCAAGAAGAAACTGATTGAGAAATTCACTATTGTTCGAGGTATAAAAGAAGACGAGAAAGCGAGAATGGAGTGCAGTTGAAGAAGACAAAACTAATGAAGAAAAAACAGAATAGTAACGTGGTGAAGAAGAAACTTAAGAGCCCTAAATCCAAGAAGAAAATTTGAAACACACTTTTTTGTTCCTTTAACGTTTTACATTAAACTAAAAATGCATCATCTAAATTTTGCCAACTCTAAATTTGAGTATAATTTTGTTAAAGTGAAATTTTCAGTATTTTTCATGCTCGTTATAATGGATCCACCTTAATATCCTCGAAAGTTAAGTCTTGCCCTTCGGTCTTCTTATAAATTTCACACCAAATGCCCTTCTGCTGCATGATTGAATTATTTCCTTTTTTGTTCCTAGGGACATGCAAATGGTTTTTTTTTTATGTTTTCTTCAATGCTAACCGTGTTATCTTCAATATTCAATCAACACTAATTAAGAACATTGTTGAGTACCTTTTCATTTAAAAAGACAAATCTTAATATACCAAAAAGAAAATATTGTAACTTTTTTGACCATACAAGATACCAAAATTATAAACGCAAAGAGAATTTGTTTTCCAATCACGTTTGCAGTTATTTTAATATGTAAAATGATACTTTGCAATTGTTTAACTTTAAGGGATACTTAATAATTCTTTGCATAAGAAAGTGAAACAACGATTTAACATATAAACACTGAAATAAACCTACTACAAATGC